CTTTTATATATTTTAAAACAGATTTTATCTTGTATTATAAATCCAGAAAATTTAGTAAACGGCTTGAAAATGCATCATTTCGAGCAGATCTTTTACAAAATTTTCTGCGGGAGTGTCTCTCTGGACCCCCCTAGAACTGCTTCAGTCCACAGATGGTTGTTAACATGAACAGGTGTCATGATGAACATGAAGTCAGCAGAGGTAGACTTCTCATACTTTGTTTCAGATGAATTATTTTGTTGACTGTTTTAATTGGACAAGAGGCGGCTGTGGCAGAGTGGTTAGGGGAGTCATCCTGGAACTGGTAGGTTGCCGGTTCGATCACCCTACCAGCTCACTCAGTTGTCCTGCCCTTGGACACTTCACCCCCAATGCATCTGTGTGTGTCCCATCAGTGTATGAATGTAATTTAAAGAACTGATTAGTCTCTATAAGATGATTTGTACGTTAGCTTTGTAGAAAGACGCCTGTAGGGCCAGCCCTGGTATCGTTCATATGCTTTAAGTGCTTCACAACCCTGAACGCTAACTGTACGGAGTAATATGTTAACTTTGCAAAGTCTTCCTAATTAACTTTGAAACATCAAACTAGTGTTTTAATTAAATTCCACTCTCAAATGAAGTTTAGAATATCTAGAATTCTTAATTTGTAAAAACCGTTTATTTAAAAAAAATGGTTTTATGGAAACTACATGAAGAGAAAAAATGTTTTAAAGACCAAAATAGTTTAAGAGTTTTGTTGGAAATGTTTGGCTTGTTGTTTATGGAGCAATTTCTAAAGGAACCCAAGGCTGCAAGCAACTTAGAAAAGTATTTTATTCTCATCCTCTAAATACAAAACGGGTCGTTTTTGGTGATTGCTCAGAACAAGTGTTTATTCAGTGACAGTAAAAACGACTTTCTGTCCCCGACTTTAACAGCTTTGGGATTTCTGCTGTTTAGCCAAGATGTCCCTTTAGTTGCTTCAGTGTTTTTAAAAGAACGTCTTCACGCTGTAGGATCACTTTGAGAACGTTCCCTGCATGTGCCTCAGGCTTATGAAGGATTTGGTCTGTTTCATGATATTTGTATGTTTACGTGTTCGAGAGAAACTGAAATAAAGAGAAATCTGTTCAGTGGACTTTCCCTTTCACCTTTCCTGTGAACCCATCAGACCTTTTTGTTGCCGTTTTCTTCCCTGTGAGAAACGCACAGCTTCCTCAGAAGCGCCTAAGGTTGACTCACTTCCTCCTTTGGTCTCTCTCTCTCTCTCTCTCTCTTCTCTTCTCTCTCTCTCTCTCTCTCTCTCTCTCTCTTTCTCTCTCTCTCCTTTACTCTGTCTACCTCAGGTTCGTGGCGCTCCGCTTTACAGCTTCCTGCTGTTACATTGTAACACAGATCTGAAGGTAAGCTTGATTTTACTCATTAAGTCTTACTTGAGTTCAGGGATGAAAGGAGTAACACACAGCAGTGTGGGGATTCTAGGAGTGAAATGGGAAAGACTGAGCTGTTGGTTTTTCTCAAGAGTAAGTCAGATTTGTGTCAGGACACTTGTGAACAGAGTTAAACAAACGCTTGGCAGGATTTCACTTTTAAAGGTGAGAATGGAGGCGCTAATGGCGAGCAGGTAGCACCTGCAGCCGGCACCTTCACCGGCCGTTTAAAGGCTCGGGCAGACTTGTAAACACCGGCTTTTTCCCCCGCAGAACTTCAGCAGCACAACAAAACGGTTTCAAACGTCAGCAAGTCCCACAAGTTGCATGTGGGCCCGTTTGTATGAATGCATGATGCAGGCTGGTGCAGAAAGCAGACCCACACGCACTGTGGGTGTCACACAGAGAGCTGGCAGACGGGGTTTATGCTCTTCCTGTTGGGTTCCTCCTCCAATCAGCTGATAGTCTGAGTGCTGCTGATTCCCTCACAGATAAAATGTTGATGCTACGCGTTTGAATTCACCCTAATTGTCTCTTRAGTGCTTTTGATTTGTTTCATTTGCATTTTCTGAAATTTTCACACTTAAAGTTGAGCGTTTGTTGTGCAGTTTCAGTTCATTTGTGCAGATGGCAGAGTGGAAGCATTCAACCAACTTCAAATATGGCACTTGTATTTGAAAAGTCAAACTGTGGTTGTTCTTAAACTGAGACCAGCGTTTGTTGTCAGCACTAATGAGGAACATCTTGTGACGAGAAAGGACAGAGTCATGATTTGGTTTAAACTTTGTAAATGATGTGAAATCTCATGCAACATTGTGAGGTGCGTTTGTGCTCAGAGTACGTATTGAGAATGACGCTCGGCTACTACCACACCGGGTTATTGCACTTTTTGGTTTTGGATGAGTTTGATTAGCTGTGGCTGTAGCAGAAGAAGACAAAAAAAAAGCACGTATGCTGAAGCAAATTTCAAAATGAACAATATTTTTGAAAGAACTGAAGAAACCAGAAAGCATCACTATCACCCATCAAATTCATTCTTCCATCAGTTGAAGTTATTGATACTCTATGATTTGGTTGATTATGGTATTTTATCAGTTATGTATAGGGCTCATAAAAACACATTACCTTCAATCATTCAATTACACTTTGTTAAAAGAGAGAGTTGTTATAATCTCAAAGGGATAGAGATGTTTGTTAAACCCAAATTTAGAACCAGTTTAAAGGAACGGAGTACGTATTTCAGTCCAGGGTATAAGATTATGGAATAATCTGGAAGATGAAATTAAAAATGCCAGATCAATGAGTATATTTAAGAGAATGATAAAGAATAATTTGCTGGAGAAATACATAATGTAAAAACTGTTGTTCAAGGAGTTAAACCTTTGTAT